TTCAATATGTCATCTATCTATATCAGTTCAGAATAAATATAGTATATATGTATCAACGTTACCTCTAAGTTCCCATAATTATCACAGCTTCACACAGAAAAACTTGTTGATAATTGAATAAATGTGTTAATTAAGCTAATTTACTTTCCATGTGCTCCCCAATGTGACGCAGACCAACCCAAGTCGGCTGCTTAGTTCTGCACACATATTATATATGCATACATATATAGATTTCCATACATATACATGCATTTGTATGTGTGCCTTATCAATTTTGGAGCTTTTCAAATATATTTAACGCTGACATGCGTTGGCTTCCGTAGCCAACTGAATGGCTTCAGGTCTTCACTGCTTCATGGCTTTTCAATTGCTTTATCAGTTCACAATAGTTTCGCGGTGAATAGCTATAAATAACTGTATGTAGGCTTTTATTGACTGCATTTCATAGTTTATTGAAATAATTGCAATATGTCCATTGAGTAACTATTAAGGTAACTGCAGCGATATACTGTACTGGAAGAAGCAGGGGAAGATTGATTATACAATAATAATGATGATTGTAATAAATAATTATGGTAATAATAATGACAATGTTATGATAAGAATGTAAATATAAGTTTATGCGACTGCTTAGAACTGATAATAATGACCATGGCAATGAATAAGTTTGGTAATAATGATAATGATAAGAAAAATGATTAATGCCAGTGACAATAATGAATATATCATAGTGAGGGAGGGCAAGGCTAAAAATAAATCATGACTATATTAGTATTGATGTTTATACGTATTTCCAGGTTAACTCCTAGTCAGGCACACCCGACTAGCCAACTCTTAATTCATAATTAGCCCTCGTTTAGAGCGGAAATGAGATATGACAGAACATAATAATTATTTTAGGCTAACAGAGTTCAATTGGTTTACTGACATCAATTGCAGAGTATGTGCCAGTCGAGTAATTATGATTATAACAACATTATTATAATAATAAATACTGTTTACTGATATATACATATGTATATACAAGATGTATGTGGTAGCTAATAGCACACACCCCACATTGACTGCAGATCGTATGAGGCAATTGGCTAATAAATTGAGCAATCATAAATTACCGGGCAGACCCAACCCGGGCAGACCAGACCACTAAATGGCCCAAATGTGGGCAATTTGATTTTGGGTATAGCCAGTTGATGATAGGTTGGCTAACCGACTGTCAGTTGATGGACTCAAATCGAACTCTGATTACCTCTATAAACACACATACTGCACACACGCACACAGGGAAATGCATGAATAATTGACAGGTGTCGAGACAGGTAGCAGTTTACTTACCGATTCATGCGGAAAGCAAATTATATTGCTTAATGCTAATGCGATAAGCACTGTTTACCTTTCCAAGTAGCCATGTTTCCCTATAGAGCAGAAGTTTTAATTACAAAAAGTATTTCACTTAAATGATAACCGAAATCGAGTTTGCTGTGACGCGAAACTGAATTTGTAACTGGTTTAACTTTGATTTAAGTAGAGCAACTAGTTAGACAGGGGTGTGATCTAGTATAAATACCTTGACTTATATTTATATTTATATTTATATTTATATTTATATTTATATTTATATTTATATTTATATTTATATTTATATTTATATTTATATTTATATTTATATTTATATTTATATTTATATTTATATTTATATTTATATTTATATTTATATTTATATTTATATTTATATATTTAATTTTTTATCAATTATCAAGGCTATTTAAAATAAAGGCAAACATCAATTTTTGTCACTCTAAACACACACATATATATATATATATATATTTATATATAATATATACATATGCATATGTCTTCTTCTAATTTAATTGCTTCATCTGTTTGCTTGCGGCTATTTTCAGACTGATCAAAAATGAGACTGGACGAGCTATACTGCGCGTGATATCTGGACCCAAAGCGTTTCGAGTGGTGCTCTTTACGCGTCTAACGCCCATACCATTCGGACTGCAGAACGTCATCTTTGGAGTAAGTTGAGCTAATCACGATGATATGATCAGACCCACTCTCAATTCTCGGGTATTTTATAATTTGTTCGTCTTTGACCTGCGCACTCGAACATATGTTTCATGTAGCATATATTATGTATTTTTATTTGAGCGACTATCAGTCAGGGACGAGCAACTGTGTACATATGCATATGTACATGCATATATATAGAAACTCAAATATATATATACATATATATACAATCGGTATAGTAAAGCTTCTTTGTTTCTGGCGACTTTTGCCGTGTATTTATTCAGTTATTCAGCTGTTTACTCACTCGAAATGCGTTCGCAGAGAAGTTTTACGTGTTCACGAATTTGTACTGAAATATATAAAGAAATGCTGCTTTAAATACGTACATTTTGGAAAGTTTTTGCATTGAATCAAGACTCGATCAAAGCGTGTCAAATGTAATATATGTATATATATTGCATTCGTCACTCTTCACACTGTTTCATTAGTCACATTGACGACCATTGTCATACATAGGGGCACAATTTTAACTGCTGCCAGCCGTAGAAACGCAAAGAAATACAACAAAAATAATGCAAAGTAAATAAAAACAAATGTTAACTACAATAAATACAGCTGAAAGTTGAATGAGAAATTGAACTTGAAATTTTCTAAACAGGTTTTATTGTTCAGCCAAAAGCTGTACAAATTCAGAGCTATTTGTCATACATACGTCATACGAGTCATTAAAAAAATGTGAAATTAGTTGAATTTTGAGTGGAATATAATTACATTTCATTTTAGAGTACTAGATCGTAATATAGAAATTAAGAAATAACTAACTTGACTTATTATCTGTTTTTTTTAAAGTACTTTTGATCAATAAATAATATTAAATTTTTATAAAGGTATATTTTTTATATTAAAAAAAAAAAAAATAAAAAATCTTATTTAGGCAATAGTTTAATTCGTTTCGTTAGTTTTTCGCTCTTCTCTAGCTGTTTCCAGCTAGTAACTACGATAATATTTAGTTAGCCCTAAAGGTAGGCAACATTTTAAGGTCTTATACGCATACACTTATACCCCTTGCACAAACTGACAGGAACGTTGTTCGTAAAGAACGTAATAGAATATTTTAATATAAAATTGTGCAAATATTTTTGTTGTATAATTTTACAAGATTTTTTTACATTAACAATTTTTTTTATATTTATATGAGCAATTATGTGTGTATATATTTATATATAAATGCTTGCTTTAAATATTTTCTATTACTTTTCATTAATATTAATATTCAGCTTTTTCTGTATGCTCATATAGTACTCAAATATTTTATATATTTTTGATTATAAACACATTCTAATTTCTTATGCATTTCTTTTTACAGATCAGTTCCATTAAGGCTCGCGACTATCATTTGGCCACATTTCTGGGTCTGTTGCCTGCTCAAACGATAAATGTTTATCTGGGCTCCACGCTGCGTTCGATGCACGAGGTGCTCAATGATCACAATACCAAAGTGACGGGCTACGTTAGTTTTGTGATCGAGGTGAGCTGCTTCATATATGTATATATATATATAGTATTGTTTGTTTACCTTCAGCTAGTTGTGCTTTCAGTTACACAAGAATTATTGATTTTGTTTGCATAATGAGGGTAAAAATAGTCTTGCGTGCTAAATTAAGTTGAGAATTTTCCATGACTCGAAGGTGATTGCACAAAAGTGCATAAAGTTGCCTTTAAATTATAAATGTGGTTTGACGCAATCAATTCCAAGAAAATGCACGAATTTCACGTGCAGCCTGAAAGTAGGCAATGCTTTTTATGTCTTCTACTGCTGTGCTTTAAAGTCTTATACACCGTAGAAGCCAAATACAAGTGAAACCTAATATATGGTTTAGGGCTTTAAAATAAAGTTAAATATATTGCATTTAAATTTTTAAATTATTATTTAAATTTTTTATTAAATATGTATTTTCCCCTTCTTTATTTTAGGTAATTTGTGGCGTTGCTCTGATGTTTTGGGTGGTGCAAAAGGCGCGCAAGGAACTCTCGGAGACTTTGCTTAACTCGGACTATGAGAACGACGGCAAACCCATCGATATACAAGTATAGCAAAAGGAGAACAGCCCGACTCAACAACAACAACAACAACAAGAGTTGGCGATGGAGTCTACTGATGATGCGAATAGGAATTGTGTTAATTAATTAATGTAAAGATCTTAGATTGTTTAGCAAGCCAATTAAATTATTTAGTATCTAGTTTAGTAAATTAAAAATTACAAATGAAAGAAATACCAAAAGAAATATACATATATAGCTATGTATAAGAATTATACTTAAATAGGAGTTGACAACTATTTTAGTGACAAATGCTGTGCCTATAGTATCTACATATATATACATACAATATTTACAGTTCATATACATACATACACACATATACATGAATTTTACATTTAAATTAAAAATTGATGCCTCGCTCAGAGTTATTGGAATGTAAAATGCTCTCAGTTTGCATTTCAAGTCGATTTGTGCTCTCTAAATGAATCCATTGAAATTATGCTCAATTATATTGAACTAGTTTTGTAAGTAATAAATAATATATATATATAGAAGTAATAATTATTGTTATTATATTAATGGTAATGGCTAATGCATGTCACGGCTCGGACTTGTTATAGTTCGCCAGCCGCGTGGCCTTTTGTTCATATGCTCCACGAAAACTGTTTCCAGGACACTCAGCGTGAGCTCCACATCCTCGTGGCTGAGGCAAAGGGGCGGCCTAAAGCTGAGAACCTGTGGAATAAGAGAAACGAAATTGTTAGTATTAATAGTAGATCAAGAAATGATGGCAGTAGATATAAGGTAATACATACTTGCAGTTAGGAAACTTGCGTATGAGCATGAGTTAGAAGAGAAACCAAAAAAGTGCTTGGAGATTAGATTAAAGTGCATATTTCACATAGATGATGTGTAAAAAGTATTTTAGGTAATTAAAATTACTTTCTCTTTATTACGTAGGAAATTTTCAATATAAAATCTATAATCTATAAATGCATTCTGTTGGGGGATTAAGTCTTCTCATCTAGTCAATTGCCAATTCGATTGGGTATTTCGCTGACTATTTGGGGGTGGCCAATGAATCCTCTATAGCTTGACCCAGCACATCCACAGCAAATTTGACATCGGCGCGATTAATGCACATGGGTGGCTTAATGCGCAGCACCTGCAAAGGGTTTTGTGGTACGATGCATGAAAGGAGCAGCGAATCGGGAAGAGGAGCAAAAAGATAATACGTATTAGATATGTAGGAGGAAATGATAAAGTTAAGATCAGTAAGCGCTAGGTGAGGTAGTATAAGATGAGCAAGGTAGGATTTTTAAGAGACAGAACTTACTTCTCTTCTGCTAATTAGTAGTAGTAGTAGTAGTAGTAACTAATATAAGTGCTAATCTCAGTAAGATTATCGTAGTAGATTATCTATATTAGTGTTAAAGTAAAGCTGTATGATAATCTAGTATAAGACAAACAATGCAAGCAACCGACTTAACAGTTTGGTGTTGCCAGAGTGTCGCGACTTGCCACATGCACACAGATTAATATGTATGTATTAGTGCTAAAGTAAAGCCGTTAAATGATCAGGTGTAAGGCACACATAAAACCCTTTGGCGTTGCCAGACTTTTAGAACTTACATTGCCATGCAGTCCGCCACGGCCAAAGAGCACGCCCATATCCTTGCACGTCTCCCAAATGTCCAGCACATGCGGCGCAGCGAGTGGAGCACGCGTCTCCCGATCGCTGACGAGCTCCACGCCAATCATCAAGCCCTTGCCGCGCACATCGCCAATCAGTTCGTAGCGCTGCTGCAGCTCCTCGAGGCAGTTGAGGAAGTAGGTGCCCACCTCCAGGGAGTTGCGCTGCAGTTGCTCCTCCTCGATCACATCCAGCACGGATATGCCCACGGCGCTGGCCATGGGATTGCCGCCGTAGGTATTGAAATGCAGCGCCATGCCCAGGCTGGCGGCAATCTCCGGTGTGGTGACCACGGCGGCCAGTGGGAAGCCGTTGCCAATGCCCTTGGCCATGGTGACAATGTCGGGCATGTAGCCGTGCGCCTCGAAGCCCCAGAAGTGATCACCCGTGCGGCCGAAGCCCGTTTGCACCTCGTCCGCCACGATGAGGCCGCCATTGGCGTGCACCAGGTCGGCCGCCCGCTTCAGATAGCCCTTGGGGAACTGCACGGTGCCGCCGACACCCTGGATCGACTCGGCGAACATGGCGGCCACCTTGCCCCGCGGCAGTGAGTACTTGAAGGTCTGCTCCAGCTCGTTGTAGTAGTTCACTCCAGCTTGGCACTCGTTCGGCGGGCAGCTGCAGCTGCGAGTGGTTTGCACAGGTGAATCCCGGCAGGCAGAGCCGCCCCAGATGCCCTGGTAGGGATCGGGATTCATGACATGCAGTATGCCATTGTTGACACCGGGCAGCGGATAGCGCCACGTCGAGTGAGCCGTCAAGCCCATCGTATAGGGCGACATGCCATGGTAGGCATTGCGGAAGGTCAGGATGTCCTGGTTGCCCGTGTGCAGACGCGCCATCAGCATGGCCAAGTCGTTGGCCTCCGAGCCAGAGTTGACAAAGCACACGGCCTTCAGCTTGCCCGGAAATTTGGCCGTCAGCCGTTCCGCATACTCGTGAATCTTGGGATGCATGTAGATGTTGGTCGTGTGCCAGAGCCTCGACATTTGCTCGCTCAGCGCCTGGTTCACTTTGCTGGAATGATGAAGAAATCAGGGCATCAATATGGCATCATAGATTGAGGACAGCCTGCTTCAGCTTACGGATGACAGTGACCCACGGAGACGGTTACGATGCCGCCAAACATGTCCAGATAGCGACGACCCTCGTGATCGTACAGCCACTGCATGTGACCCGCATGGATGACCAGCGGCTTCTTGAAGTGCGCCAACAAATTGGGCGTCAGGTGGTTCTTGCGCGTCTCCAGTATACGCTCGTAGCTGGGCCCAGTGTATTCAGCCGGACGATGATCAGATTGGGGCATCTCGCTCTGCAGCTGGGCCATGACGGCGGGCGCTGCCTTCGAGTGCAGCGTCGAGCTGCAGCGGATCAGCATGTTGCATGTTGTCTGAGCTGCAAGTAGATCAATGGGAGGTGGAGAAGGGGGTGTAGATAATAGAGGTTTATAATACATTGTATAATATATGGTATACTGAAGTGCATAACAAATTAAATAAAAATAAATATTAAATAAAAATTAAAAATTAGAATTAATTGAAAAATATAGTTTTTAAATTAATTTAAGCTTGGGCTTGTTCTAAAAATAAGATTATAATAATTTATAAAGATATGTATTTGATTTATTTTAGCTTCAATTATTTTTATTAGCATTTTATAATTTAATTAAAGTCAATAAATTTATCAAATTAAATAAAAATAAATATTAAATAAAAATTAAAAATTAGAATTGAAAATATAAATATAAGATTATAATAATTTATAAATTTGTTTAAAGTCAATAAATTTCTTAAAATAATATTATTAATTTTTTTTTGTAAATTATATTTACCTATTTATTTATTATTCATTAGCGATACTCTTTCCTAATTCTTACCCATATTTTTAAAATGAATAATTTGCAATTAAAATAATTAAGAAATATTATCTGTTCCCACTGCACAATCTGTTGCCCTAAACAATTTTTTCTAGTTTCAATAGACCATAGAAAACACAATCTGCCCAATCTCTCGTAATACTTTCAGCTAGTTCAAGCGTGAGATCAGTTATGGCATTATAAAAGGCTTTAAAACACGTGACATTTGATTAAATTTGAATAGACAGCAGCTCAAGCAATTCCACATATATAGTCTATATAGCTTATATAGTCTAAATAGTCTATAGTAGGTATATGCAAATGAATGGAACGTCTAAGAATGCAAATAGTTACGTAGAAAACGTAAACGGGGATCGAGACAGTGCAACTGAAACCATTTGTTTGGCTGGAATTTAACTGAGGCGTAGTATCCGATTTCCATAAATATAAATATAAATATTGTATATGTTTATATACTATCGCCTTTATGCATAGAATAACGAGTGGGTTGCTCAAATATAACTGGTTGCATTTATTTATTATTGTCAGGTAATTGAACACAATTAATTCTTGATTAAGGCGCACAGTTCTATTTGTTGTTGTTTTTCTTCTTCTGGTTTTTCTTGTTGGGTTCTTAATGAATTTCATTTAATTGAAACTTTAAATTAAATTAAATTTAAACGCCTATAGAAAGTTTAAACTTTGTTGCTGTCAATTGAAAGGCGTCAAGGAATTTGGCCAGTTGACTAGTGAATACCCTTACCAGACTCTGAATATGACATATAGCCACATCAATTACAAAGGTACCATAAAAGAACATGCGATATGAGGCGCCACCTCCCCAGCAACACGATGCCAGCTCCGGCCTCACTTAACAATTGCCGATTATAATGAAGTGCGCAATGTGATAAGCGTTAGACCCCCCGCCAATATTAAAAGTTATCTCTATATTATCTCTCCCGGCAGCCACTCAGCTCTGCTCTGCTCTTATCATTTAAACACCTGCCTATTATCAGCTTAGAGCTATTATCAGTCACTGTCCACGCGAACTGGCGTGATTAGAACTGAATCATTAGTTGGCTTTGGGATTGCAGGGTATTTGGCAAGTCGCACATCAAGTTTCGTTTTTCTTGTGCGCATTTCCGAATGGGGCGGTCATTGCCATTGCCATAGGCGCAACGGGAAGGTTAACAAACATATCTACATTTAACTTAAATTTAAATACTTGTGAAGGAAAAGCTGCACAGGTGAAAGCAGCAAAATTTGTTATGTTAAATATTTAAAATAAATATAAACAAAGAACATTTAAAAACTAATAAATTAACATACATTAAAAAAAAAATAAATAAATAAACCAATTAAACAAAATTTATATTAAGAGAAAATAAATAAAATAAAAATTTAGTATTTATTTTTTGGTTTTTTAATATTTAATTTTTATTTATAACACAACTTAATACTTTTTTATTTTATTCCTATTTTTTCTAAATATTTAATAAATATTTTTATTTTTATATTTTTTTTATATTAATTTTTATTAATTTAAGTTTTAAGTTTGCTTTTTATTACTTTTAATAATATTAGCAATAAACATAGGCAAATGTAAAAAATGTAAAAAAAAACACTCATTTAATAGATAAGAAAGTTGAATGAAGATGCTGATAATCCCTTTTTTGACGTCATAATAAAAAATAAAACAAATTTAGCACCGAAAATAGAACAATTAAATCATATTTATAATGAATAATAATCAGTTGCCCCACTTTAATATATGAACGATATAAATAGATTTAAAGATTAGCAATTAGAAATTTGATTAAACAAATACGAACAGTGATATCAATTTCTTGTACCTCTTTTTCATTTTGCACTTACCTAATAATCTCTTCGACATCATATTAAATATATTCTATAATTTCTAGTTGGGAAGACTTCCTGTTTATTTATAAAAATATTGCAAAACTAACAACGCACTTCTTGATTAATTTGCCTTGTCCAGTTTTTTCTTTCACAATTCTGTTTTGCACCTTCGCCTACGAGCTGTGTAAAACAGTTCTTTTTCTTTTACTTTTCTAGTCGCCGATCTCGCACTATACAAGTGGAAGCGGTGCGCACTCAACGACGACAGAGCCTCAACTAAACTAAGTGGAATTGAAAAAGCCGCAGTCCGCAGTCATTGGAATAGTGAACAGTCCTCAACCGGCTGGAACATGGGAAGCAGATGAAAGAAAGGGGGAGAGCGAGAGAGGGAGTGTGTGTGTGTGTGTGTGGAGATTTGTTATCTATTGGACGCTCGCGCAATGTCAAGGCTGAGATCTGTGTATGAGCTTTCACAGGAATATGGTATATGAAACTAAGACACATACTCATACTCATTTTCGTTTACATGTTACAAGAGACAGAGTATAATAGAATGTGGGAAGAGAGAATTGCAATTCTTACTCTTACATAAAGGTAAGGGAATTTTAAATTGAATTTCAACTGCAATCGGAATACTAAAAAAATATACTAAATAAAATCCTGTTAATACACTGATATTAAAAATGCAATTTTAACTTAAAATTTTTATAATAAAAAAATAGAACAATATTAAAATTTGTTTCTCACAATTTTATTTCATTTGTTGGATGAAGCACAAACTACGAACACAGGTGCACAGATTCCTTGTTGTTTGTTATTTATTTTGTATCATAATTTTTTGTTTTTAACAAAATATATTATTTATATATATATTTGGGATTTGGGGATTTAAAGGTATTACTTTTAATGAATTCCCTTGTTAGCAGATTTGAATTGAATTTCGCATTTCGCGTTCCGAAATACAACTGTGCCGAGTGTTTTTAGTTAATTTGCTGATTTTGCATATAGCGCTAATTTACAATTGCATTATTATTATTATTGATAGTTTCCTTCTTTGTGTTTCATATATATATATATATAAACATTTGTTATTCATATAACACAATAATATATATATATATTACACTTTTTTATAGTATAATTTATGTATATATATATATCCTTATATCCGGTTTTTCAATCAACATCACAAGTCTGCGCTTTGATGCTCCTTCAATTGCCATTCGAATCCCTCACAGATGCCACGAGTTATTTGTATATAGACTTTTAAATGTATATGTATATATATTTATAGCTCGATATAAAAAGGTTTTTTCGGTTGCTAAAAACAAGCGGTAGGTGGTGTTGGTTGGGCGGCTTATGAATAACAAAACTGAATAAATTTCGAGTAAAAAGCACACAAACACACATACACACACAGCATCAGCATCATCTCATCGTTATTATCATTATAATCATCATCAACAACTGCACCCAAATGAAAGTTTCTAATTAAACTCGCTGTACTGATCCGAATTGGGGCTACGAGGCGTGGCTGCTGCCGCTGTCGACGGCTCCAAGCTGGCCGCCATTTGACGCAGATTATCCACGCCAGCCAACAGTTGCCTATGATAAAGAGAAGGAGAGAGAGAGAGAGACATTAGCTAATCTATTGATTTCAGCATACTTAATCAAAACTGACCTCAAATTCTGCTCAGCATTGTCCGCAGCTCGCAGTAAATCGCGCGACAATTGATGCGTTCTGGACGGACGCGATGTGTTGCTGCTGCTGCTGTGGCTGCTGCCTGGCGTTATCACCGAAGCCCCACCAACAGCTGCTGCTCCTGCAGCGCCTGCGGCGCCAGCCGTTAGCTGATCACTACTGTGTCGCAGCTCGAAAAGCTCAGCCTTTAAAGGAATGCATTTTAATAAATATAAATATAAATTTCTCTCTATGGTTATTATTCATATCTACCTCCAGCTGTGCCACCTGTCGCCGCAAACGTTGTGTATTCTGAGTTTGTGCTGTGGCCGCCAACGTTTCACGTCTTCGCGCATCGCCCACAGCCAGCAACTGCTGCTCATAGTCCTGAGCTCGACGCGTTTGCGCATTCAGCTCCACACGCATCTCTTGCAGTTCGCGCAGCAGCCGCTCGTTCTCCTGGCGCAGCGTGCAGGACACACCACCATCCGATTCCTGCGGCGGGGAATCTATGGAATTCGAGGGCAGCCCAATGGCCACATCCGCCATGCGCTGTGACGAGTGCAGAATGGGACCGTCAGACAGAAAATCGGGCAGCATTTTAACCGTAGAGCCAGTCGCATCGCCGGCGGATTGCATCGTTGAAGTGTTGGGCAGACCAGCGGTTGCGGCAGCGGGCAAGAGCAGAGCACCACCATTGCCGCCACCCATGGCGCTGCTACAGCTGGGCGCCTCGGCAGCGCCTAAAGGCGAGTTGGGTGGCGAACTGAGATGCGCCTCCTGACACCACGAGTCCGGCAAATGATCCTGCACAAAGTCGGGTAGAGCCGATGCGGCGCCAGCCACGTTTGACGTGTCCAGCGGCAGATCGAGCTTCATTTTGGGTGAAGCCGAAGCCAGAACCAAGCGATTCGGACGCAAAGCAGGTCGACGCCGAGGCGACGCAGCAGAAGCGGCTGCGCAGGCAGCATGCGGCGGCATATCGTAGCTGGAATAGGATCGCGGCACATAACGCGAATTGCTGGCCGCCGCGTGCAAGCTCGACGATGATGAAGGAAATATATCTAAGAAAGAAAATATATTAAGAATCTTTTTCCATTCTTATGCAGGCAACTCACCATCGTCGACGCGGTCATCGTACAAGCGACTGTTCCGCACCTGGGCTAGGCCCAAGTGCTCGTAGTCATCATCATCATCCAGCATTATGCCACTGCGCTCCACCTCCAGCCGCAGATCCGGACGTAGCCGTGTCGAACTGGAGCTGTTGCCACTTCCGCCACACGCTGCATACTCGGCCAGACTCGCCTGCGAGTCGAAGGAGCTGAACCGTGGCGAACGCTTCATCTTAGAGGTGGCGCTGCCATTCAAATCCGGCTGCATATGGCTCACGGATGCAGATTGTGGTACTTTTGGCCTGGCGCCCGTTGACGTTTGTAGCGCAGCGGTTGACGTTGAGCTTGCATTTGTGTTGCTGCCGGTGCTACTGCTGCTGCAGGCACTCGTGCCGCCCGTTGCATCAAGGGATGTGACTGTGCTGCTTGGCGCTGTAATTGTGCCGCTGCTGTTGAGAAAGTGCTTGAAGGAAAATGTTGATGTGGATGAGGAAGAGGCGGAGGCGGTGGCATTAGTGCTGTTTGTTGCACTCGCTGTTGCTGTTGCAGCTGCTGCTGTAGCTGGGGGCGCTGCGGCTGCTGTTGCTGCTGTGGCAATCATTGTCGCCGAACCAGTCGTGGCCCGTATATTTGTGTAATCACCACGACTAGAGCTGCTGGCGCTGCCATTTAGCCATAAGTCTGCCACCAGGTCGTTGACATTGTCGTTACGCGTACTTGCCGGCAGCTTGGCATCGCCGCAGGCTCCATTGCCATCGCCGGTCAGGTGCTGTTGCTCCTGTGCAGCTGTGGCTGTATTGGCAGCAGCGGCAGCATCGTCCGTATTGATATTGTTCCCATTGCCATTGGCCATTTAAATGTTGCAGCCACCGTTAGTCACTGAATTCCGTCGCCAGTGGTTTGAGTAAACTATGCTCTCCTTGTGCCTCTGTTGTGTATACTTTTTATGGGATTCTGTATTAGTTTTTGCTGCAAATTTAGTTAATTTGGCGTTGCATTTCTCTGCCGACTTTTCACTAAAGTTTTTGTTGCTTAGAGCTGGACACAAACGATATTCTGCATTCTTTTCTGTTATCGATGGGTCGAGACTAACGTATCGATGGGTTTTCTTAATGAGCGAAAAAGAAGCAACCAAAATTCAAATTGTTTGTAATAAAAATGAAAGAAAGTGTAATAAATTTGTAAAAACTTAAGAAATTAGAAAATAGTGTTTCTGTCTGATTTGTACTGGTCATATATTTGTTAAATTTTAATACATGTTGCATAAGTTCAGTTACAAATGTTAGTGTTACAATTATCTATCACGCACGTCTCATCTCTATTGATGATACTTTTGTAATATTCGGAGTGACCAAGATGTGTAAAAAATACTAGCACTGACTTATATTTTTGATTTTTCCGTTACCAGTGTACGTTCACACCGCTCTCGTGGTTTTTGTTTTGTCTTCGCACTCCTTGCCTATTGCTTCCGAGGAGAACGGCGAGTCGGGTATAAACGTTGCTAATTGGCGCAATATATGCATAATTAATGTAATAAAAAGCGAAAGGCAAACGTGAATGTTTTATGTAAATAATATAAAAAAGTGAACGTTCAGTGTATACAAATTAACACGAATCTAATAAGCAAACATAAAAATAACAAAAACAGTGTAAGGGCGGCGTAAAGAAAGTGGAAAAGAAAATTCTGCGTAGCAAACAAACCGGTCGGCGCACAACATACAGACATACATACATATACACACATGCATACAAATACATACAAAAAATGTCGTCAATATAATATCGTATGCAAAAGACGCATTTTAAACAAAACTACAAAACGTCGTGTGCTAAAAAAGTAAAAACGTACGCAAATCGTACAAAACACACATATAAATAACAGACTGTGTTTTATATTTGCGCTGACCAAACGAAAAACGCAAAAGGTGGCCGCCATATGCGACAGCGACTTGGTCTGTCGTTCAGGCTGCGGGGGTGACAGCGCGTACCAAAGGTGGTGAGAGCAAGAGCTAAAACGACGCGACGCGACGCAAAGCAATACAACACAACGCTCACCTTTCGCGTATTGTAAATTGTTTTTGCAAACACACAAACTAACCCCTCCGACCGAGCGACCGGCCGCGCTGCAGCAGCAGCATCGTCGTGTGTTCCACTTTCGTTAGGCAGCGCCCCTTTTGCTACTACTATGCACACGCTGTCCTGATTTCGATGCAATAAACACAGAGAGAGCGAGAAAGATAGTAAGAGGAGGACCTATTAGTGAAAATGTATTTGTATTAGTGATCAGCAGCATCAGCTTTCCATGCAAGCTCACTCTCTGGAGTACAAGAGAGAAAGAGAGCGCGGATCAATTGATGACAATGTATTAGTGATCAGGAGCAGCTAAATATACTCTTTTGAGCTCTCCTCTGTGTGCGTGTGTGCCAAATTATATTTAATTAATAAAAGAGCGCATTTTAAATAAAATGCAACGGAGCTGCTTCAGCGACTGCAGCA